TGCAAGCCCCGGCGTCCATGACAAACGCCATCCAGTGAGTCTGAAAGTATGTGTGGTGAGAGCCAGTGCTGCCACGTGAAATATTCGGGAAATCTAAATAGAAAAGTTTAGTGGAGACCTTCAGAGTTCTGGAATGTACTGGTGCCTTCTGTATCAGGGAACTCCTTTCATTTGAAAAATAGACCCTAGTAATTTACTGGGCCCTGGTAGAGACTGAACCCTTGATAATCAGACACAAAGTGACTCTGTGGCTGGCACTGCCCATTATGAACTGGGCATTGCTTTGATCCTATTGTGTGGTGTAGAAGTGATGTATTGTTAGATGGGAGCGATGCATTTGGAATTGGGCTCAGGCAGATCATGAAGCGATGTCTCAGAGTCTCATGTCATTGACTGAGTGTCAGTACCTCTATTGAATGATGCTACCCTCTCACCTCACACCTATCACCTCATGGGAGTCTTCACATGACTAACTTATGGAGGAGGAAAGAACTCAAACTCTCATGAACATGGATCGACCTGATGTGGTAGGTGGACCTTAAGGCCAGTAGTGAAGGAAATCAACCCAGTGGGCAGATCTGCAAAAACAGTGTCGTTGTTATGGATTTAAAGGGAGAAGTGACCTGAGGCGTGAAGACACATCGAGCGTCAGCAGAGTGAATGGCCTCAAGGCCTGGGAGAAATATGACTTGATGACTGGCTACCAGGGTCTGAGCTGGGGCATGTGGTTAGACCTGGAGGAGTGAGCACAAAGTGTCTTTATGCCCCAGAGCCATGCCTCTCAGAACGCAGGAAGCTCTCTACCACCAGATGGACATCATCACCTGCCTGTGGATAGTACCCAGGCTCCTTTCTCGAGTACCCCAGAGTTTGTGCAGGAGACCCCTGAAGAGGATGGCCTTGGTGCCAGACATGGGGGTCACGCATGGACATGGCTGAGTACCTACCAGTTCTACTAAATGTTAAATGCCAGAAATAGGTAGACAATGGACACTGATACAGCACCGTTCCTGGGGGGAGACCTGATAGCTGGTTGGTGGGAGGCCCGTTAACTTGGATCCCTTTGACCTTGAAGAAGGCCGCAATTGATCCGAAGTAGGTGAAAACTCGTCTGAATATGTGTTTGCCTTTGCTACTCCAGTGCCACTGCTGGCTCCCAGATCTGCTGGCTACAGGGGGCCTGACCCATTGACATTGGGTCCCACCAAACCAAAGGACGTGGTGTCCCGCTGCTGTAACCAAAGGACACCTGATACATTACAGAAGGTGCAAGCTTGCGATCACTTCACGCCCACCCCACCGAAAGCCACAGACCGGAGAGAACAGTGGGATAATATTAATCATGAAAGGTTGAGCTAAGATACCAACCTGGGTAAAAAAATATAAAAACAACAAAAGACCTTAGGATTGTGGCACTTTTCTCCAGGACGAAGTTTATGGCTACAGCGTCAGCTGACGTTGGAGGTTGGGCCACCGTAGCTGGGGTACGCAGCTCTGGGAATGAGGGTGGGCCTCTGTTACACACTCAGTCACTTGTGGATTTGTGCTTCCTTTCCCTACAATCTTAGACTTGGCCAGTTAGAATCCTGGTTCTTGGGCTGTGGGTACTGGCAGGTCTGTCAGGGGACCAATTCATAGTCCACTGAAGTAGAAGCTATGATTCCACATGTGATCTGCTACGTGGCCATGCGTTCCTCACTACAGTGGACCAGCAAAGACAGTGAGAGATACTGTTCTCATCACCATAAGGTTTTTCACAATCTGAGAAAAAAAATACCTGGAACTCAGAGGAGCCCCATGCCCAGATATGAATGGGCAGCTGCAGCAACCAAGATTCCATAAGAGCAAGGCAGCTAAGTGCCTACGCCCTTTGGGTTAAGATCCGAGAGACCTCACAAGGCAGCAGCCCAGACCAGCTGAAGTGCCTGTGGAATATGAAGAAAATCTGGAATGCATGGTAGAGGAGATTGATGATGAATATTAGTCAAGGCTCCAAGAATCAGCTGGAGCATTAGAATGTAGCTTGGTTCATTATGTCTCCTTAAATCTGGAGAATGGCAACTGGTTATGCCTTCGAAGGATTGTACTTGAACTTCCCTCTTTCGGAAGATTCGGGAATGTTGTCTTATATGCTCTCTGGATGTCAGGAAATGGTACAAGTGCATCTGAGTTGTGCAAGAGGGAGCCTGTCCTGGACCCCAGCTCACATGCTTGTCTGTACTGGCTCAACCCTAATACGTCTTCACTTTTTGACCACTTATTCAATGGATAGCTCCATACAGTGTTACTATTGTCACTTAACCTTCTAATGCCAACAGCTGTATCAGCCTCCCCGAAGAATAAGAACAGGCATTAGCATGCCCCCGATGGCATCCACCAAGGAGAGATCCAGAGTGGCTCTGGCACCTGTGTCTTATCAGACCAGACCCAGGAAAGTGCTGTATCCATTGGAATATTGCTTTCCTAGGGTTCACCTAAAGGAGACAGATTATGCAACCAGAGTGCAAAGGCGTTAGGGTCCCACAGGCTTAATTTTTACTGGTGAAATAGAGAAGGTGAGGAAGTAGCGTGTACATGTCTCTTCCTCCATCTAACAAGCTGTTCCAACCTGTGAAGATTCTGATTTCTCTGGAGCTATTCCACATGACCTAGCAACCAGCCACGTTTTCCTGTGAAGTTCTGCCCAGCTCAGTAACACACCACCGCGGGTCTGCTTCCTCTTCTCCCTACAAGACCTCTCTTCTCACCTCCCTCGTGCTCCCCTAGGATCGGACCTCAGGCCCTGCCTCCCAGAGAATCTGGGTTGAGATACAGAGCAAGACTCTTAAACTCCAAAGTGTCTGTTCATCATGGAACAAATTAAAATCCAATGTAAACAGCCCCGGGCCTCCCTGGTTGAAAAGTTTTCTGAGGATGGTGCACCCCACTATCTTCTCTCTGTGTCTGTTTTAATGTACGAATGTGATGAATTTCTTTAATTCTGTAAACCTACAGCTACTTTCTTACTCGGCCCTGCTTTGTTTTACAACTTTTGCATTACTCCGCTCTGTTTATTATACCTTTATTCTCTAGTTCCCCTTATATTTGACTGATTTTAATAGAAGGTACCTTACGCTGCTTACTTGTCTGTTTCCGAATGTGTACCTTTGCAATGCCATTTCTTAGAGCAGATGGGTGCTGAATGCCAGAGCTCCCTATGTACCCCTGTGTATAAATGTGACATATTGGAATTGCGACACGTGTCTTCATTACCACTCTCTTTACTCCCTCACCACCTCCTTTTTCATTATTATTTCTGATAAGAATTCAGAGAGAATATAAATTGTAAACCTATAGTATCAAATATCTATTAGTGCATCTATTAGTATTAAGCAGGAACACTTACCTGATATTTCTATCATCTGTGTATATGGGAACTACAGCCTGAAACCTTACATATTAAATTGATATATCACATTTGCTATCCTCCTCAGGTTTGACCTAATTGCCCAGGTTCTTCTAGACATGGATATCCCAAGCTTTTGGAATTATTTGTTTGCTTTGGTGGTTGGTTTTTTTGTCTTGAATTTAAATAGCCTGACATTTGAGGGTACACAGAGAACTCAACTCCCCAGTTCTTCAGACTTTCCCCCTGTCCTCTTTGGTCCTCTACTTTTTTGACTCTCAGTGTCTTGATTAATGACGTCTCCCATGAATGTGGCGGGATGACGGCTAATCTATGGAACAGTTGAGGATGAGATGATTGTTCACAAAAATTGTAAAGACTGCAGATGCAAGATACAGCAAAGACATTGCATCCCCACTGAAAAAAAACAAAACAAAAGCAGCGACAAACATTTGAAACCAAGTCACATTTTTGGACACCATCCATTACTCTTGCATTTAACAGGATGTTAAAGAGTCTACATCTTCTGAATTTATTAGCTTGGTATTTAGCATGTTTCACAGCCAAAATAGCAAAGAAGGTTCATTATTGCTGGTTAAATTAGCCTCATGAAAATGTTGCTGGTAAAAGGTTACCGAAATGAATGAGAGATCTAGCCATGCAGCATATGAAAACCATTTATCATTATTATTTGAGAAGGCATTCTGATGATTTAAATTATCTTGGATAAAGGGTAGAGAATTAGATAAAAGTTAATAATTAAAGCCTAAATGGCATGATTAGTTTTTCTTTTTGGTAAGGAAGGGACAAAACATATGCAGTGTTACTGAAAATGGCCTCTTGGGAGAAACCACGGCCAAGAAAATCATACTTGATGATACCTTTTATGAGTTTTTAAAAATTACATCTGTTATATATAAATTAGATTACCTGAATAGCTTGTGTTTCCTTCAGCTATAGTCTGATAATCCTTGCTACATTATTTCATGTTGGATGATCAAAGCCTAGAACAGCCATTTTTATGTTGCGGCTTAGAGTTTATTTTTTAACCGAATGGCATGTGTGTACATTAATGATAGTCTTTGCCATCTTTGTGAAATGTTTTTGTTTTTTGTTAATTCTCACCCGAAGATATTTTGCCATTGATTTTTAAAGACTGGAAGGGAGGGAGAGAGAGAGATAGAGAGACATTGATGTGAAAGAGACACATTGATTGGTTGTCTCCCACACAATCCAGACCAGGGCCGGGGATCGAACCTGTAACCCAGGTATGTTCTCTTGACCGAGAATCGAACCCGAAATCCTTTGGTCTGTGGGCCGATGCTCTAACCACTGAGCAAAACTGACCAGGGCCATGTTTGTGAAATTTTTATCAGTAAATTTAACTTGTATTTTTTTCTCTTTGGCATACATAATTTTTAATGTTTGCGTGGCCTAAACTGTTCATATCTTTCTTTGTGTTAAAATGATTATTTGCCCCCTGAAAAGAACAGAGAGTTTTCTCAAAAGGGCTGGTGAATCAGTTTCTTATTAGTTTGACAACCCTGGTTAAGCATTTTGTGTCTATAAACTAAGAGCAAAATAAAAATGTTACCCTCTTTTTCATTTCTAACAGAAACCAGGAGCTAAAAGAACTTGGTGAACTTTCTCCACACTGGGACAATCTACGGAAAAATGTCCTCACTCACTGTGATCAAATGGTGAACATGTACCAAGACATTCTGACCGAACTCAGCAAGGAAACAGGTATGAAAGCAGTAACTTTACATTTTCAACCTGAATTGCATCTCATGTGTGTTATGTGAAAATAATAATAAATATCATTATGGACATTGAAGGGCCAAGATTTTTTTTAAAGCACCTTTTATTTCTAATGCTTCCATGTTGGCATGAAAAAAATAAAGGGAATAAAATGCACTATTTTTATTATCACAAGAATAACAGCATTCTTCAAAAGTTAAATATCTTTGAAGAAAAGCAAATTATATGGTTATGTTTTCCTTTTGGAAGCTTTTGTTACAGTTTTCTATAACAAATTTACTTTTCAGCATACACACACACACTCATTAATTCTTTACTAATAATATTCAGGTTTTGTTTGTTTTTTTTCCACCTAGGGTCCTCTTTCAAATCAAGCAGCAGCAAAGGAGAAAAAACATTAGAATTTGTTCCAATAAATCTACACCTGCAGAGAATGCATGTCCACAGCCCGCACTTGAAAGGTAGTGTATCATATTCTTTTCAAAATGGGAAAACTATGCTAGTGTGTTTCTTTAAAACTCTCCACTGTTGGCAGAATTTACAATTTGAACATTTATATAAAATGGAGATGGAACGGTTGAGGCTGACAGTAACCCTGAATACTACAAAAGAGACTGTTATCTTTCTGTTGCTGTGTTTCTGAGCAATACTTGTTCAATGTAGCACCTGAATTGAGTTACAGGTAAATATGCAAAATGAATATTAGCTTCTTTAAGTAGAGTTGGTGCCCTCTAACAGCTACCAATTGTGCTGCTGTCTGAATTAGAAAAAAGAAAGAGGGAAAATAAGACTTGTTCATTGTGTACCTATCTTGAGAACCCAAAGCCCCATGTTGGACTCAAGCTGTTTCTCTGTCTTGGTGGTGACTGTCACCAGAATCACCGCCTTCCCTATAAGATGGTGGTTGAAGGTGATATAGAATATTTTGATGGACTCAGTTGTGAGAAATATTTTTCAAGGAAAAAGTATAGGGTTTCATCTGCATACCTGAATAAGGTCTAGGGTGAACACTATGGCACTGTATTTATGGCCATTCTACACAATGTCTTGCTGTTTCTCAATAACATAGATTTTATAATATTCTTCTCATCTCACTTTTTCTTTAACTTTTTTTTTTTTTTTTTTTATCCTCACCCGACGGTATTTTTCCATTTTTTGTACAGATAGAGTGGAAGAGAGAGAGAGGAAGGGAGAGAGAGAGAGAAACATCGACGTGAAGGGACACATCGAGTGGCTGCCACCCACACAACCAACCAGGGCCGGGGACAAACTGCAACCGAAGTACATGCCCTTAGCGGGAACCGAACCCGGGTCTCTCCAGACCGCAGGCCGACGCTCTAACCGCTGAGCCAAACCAGCCAGGGCCTTTAACCTTTTGCTGTATTGATTCTGTGCATATTTAGATGACTATCTGCCCCTATTACCAGCAATGTCCCATATTATGCCTGTTGTCCCAGCATCCTTGTTAATAATGTCCTCTGCCTCCTTCCCTCCCAGAAGCCTCTCTGTTGGAATGATCAATGCTATGGTCTTCCTAGTAGTACCCATCTTCCTAGGGAACCAAGTTCCTTAAGGTTGTCAAACTCTTCACATTAAGTGTATCAACACATGCTTATGGACATGCACAGATACATCTAAAGATGATGCTAACACCCTATTTTGTAGCCATTGCCACAATATATAGGTTAGAGGTTTTAAAAGGTTAAAATGAAATCTCTGTTCTGCTTTAGAATCATCTAAATTTTTTTTTTAATCCTCACCAGAAGACTTTTTAAAAATTAATTTTTAGAGAGAGAGGACAGAAAGGGGTGGGGGAGAGAGAGAGAGAAAGAGAAACATCAATCTGTTGCCTCCCATATGTGCTCTGACTTGGAATCCAACCCACAACCTAGGTATGTGCCCTGACTGGTCATCAAACCTGCGACCTTACGATGTAAGGAACAATGTCCGACCAACTGAGCCACCTGTCCAAGGCCATCTGACATTTTATAATCAGAAAAAGTTAAACATTTTATAAGCTTCTGTATACTCATTATGTATGCACAACCAGATAATGTGCCAGGTTAAGTATAGTTATAATCTTTCTGTTGTATAATTTTATTATCTTTGGTAACCCTTATCAACTATCTGAAATTTGAACTTAGGTCCTTTTAACAAAGAATGATGTCAAATGAAAGAACTGAAACAAAAATTAGGTGGATTGGTCCAAGGCATTTAGGAACTTTTGATTACTGAGTGTCTGTCAGTAGTTTGAAAACAATATGTAATGCTTTATAAAAATCAGTAAAACCAGAGTATCAACAAGTAATAAAGAAGCTAGAGTACTTAAAAGCTATCTGACAACCGACATATTTTTTTTCTAATGGCCAATATGAAGAGACTTATAATATAGTAAAATGTTTATATATTTTGGAGTGGAATGGAATAGAATTGCAGCTTCACCCATATTTATACATGACCTTAAATCTGTTATTTACTCTTTCTGATCTGTGTTGTTCTCTGCTGGATTAAGTCAACCAGAGGACATAAGACACCCAGAATGAACAATAAGAGTTTTCATGATATATGTGGCCTTTGCCATCACTAGAACAAAATGGATCTGCCAACTTTTTTTTTTTTTTTTTTTTTGATGTTTTTCTTGATTTTAGAGAGAGAGGAAGGGAGAGGGTGAGAGAGAAACATCGATGGGCTGGCCCCTGCATGCCCCCTCCTGGGGATTGAGCCCCAAACCTGGTCATGTGCCCTGAACCCGGAATCCAGCTGGGAACTTGGTGAAGCATGGGACTCCTCTCAAGCGTGGGTCTGTCTGCTGTGTCGTGACTATTTTTTTTTTTTTTTAATCCTCACGTGAGGACATTTTTTTTCTATTTTTGTTCAGATAGAGTGGGAGGGAGAGAGAGAGAGAGAGAGAAACATCAACATGAAAGGGACACATCGAGTGGCTGCCACCCACACGACCAACCAGGGCTGGGGACAAACTGCAACCGAGGTACGTGCCCTTAGCGGGAACTGAACCCGGGTCTCTCAGGACCGCAGGCCGACGCTCTAACCGCTGAGCCAAACTGGCCAGGGCTGTGTCGTGACTATTAAAGCAATGAGTTAAGAGACAATAAGATCTGAGGAGGTAGCCAGATTTGGAGCAAAGATGATTTAGAGAGGCAGAGGCATTTTGGAAACAGTACCCCGTGCACGCACTTGATGTCTGATAGAATGATGCAGGGGGAAGGAAGGATGACCTGGGGTAGATGGTAATGTATCATCAAACCAGGTAGTTTGTCGGAGCCAAATTGATAGGAGTTTGTATTTAAATAGGCCAACTTGATGATGGCCCTTGAAATACTTCCACCAAACAGAGAGGCCTTTAACATCGTATTTGTTTCTTGAAAATGGCAGAACCATTTCCATTATGCTATTTTTTTTTGCCAAGATACTATCTGAAAAATAGACTAGAGTGAGCTAGGATGACTACAATGCCTTTAGTTTCTGTTTCTCCAATTTGAGAGGAAGAAACTGGAAACTAAAAGAAAGACATTTAGAAAAGCAAATAAAATGTCTTGTAGTTGGGTCGGGAGATGTTCCGGTTTCCCGGAGCTGCCGTAGCGGAGCACAGAAACTGGGTGGCGTAAGCAGCAGAGATGTGTTGTCTCATGGTCTTGAAGCCAGGAGTCTGAAATCGAGGTGTTCAGAGCCAAGCTCCCCCTGGAACCTGTAGGGAAATCTTTCTTGCCTCATCCTAGACCTTTGATGGGGGTGGGGGTGGGGGAGGGCAATCTTTTGTTTCCTTTGATTTGTTGATGCATCACAACGATCCTCCATCTTCACATGGTGTGAAGTCCTCACGTCATCTGCGTGTGTGTCTGTCTCTGTGTCCACATTTCTCCGTCAAAGACACCAGTCAGATTGGGTTAGGACTTATCCTATTAACCCGATTCAACTGGATTCTATCTGTAAAGACCCTGTTTCCAAATTAGGTTCGATTCTAAGATATCTTTCTTGAGAGGCACAGTTCAACCTATAACAGGAGGGATTTTTTATATGTGATAAAAAAAAATCAAGTAGTTTTGATGTTAGATCTAGGGTACAACTCATAAACTAGAGGATTTTTGACATAGTAGTTTTCAGAAAGAATGGTTGCCCCTTTTACTTATTTTTTTTTAAATAATTTTTTTTCTTGGTTGATTTTTAGAGAAAGAGAAAGGGAGAGGGAGAGAGAGATAGAAACATAGATGAGAGAGAACATCGATTGGCCGCCTCCTGCATGCCCCCCACTGGGGATCGGGCCCACAACCTGGGCATGTGCCCTGACTGAGAATCAAACCTGCGACCTCTTGGTCGATGCTCAACCACTGAGCTACACCAGCCAGCATGGTTGCCCCCTTTTAAAATCTAAGGAGAAAATGTGGGAAAAGACTAGAATTAATGTGAATCAATTGCATAATATAATTATATTACATTAGTATGTATATTATATGCATAAAATATGTATAGCATGAAATAATTTATGTTTTTTAAATATTTATTTTTATAACTTTAAAAGTTATTTGAAGTTGGAATTCAGATAAAGTAGTTGCTTTATAGACTAGATCACCAACTATATGTTGCAATAGAAATTGAAAATACCTGAATTGTTAGGGCCTTACCACTTTTTTGATTTTGACCGAGTTAATAACTACACTGAGCTTTGGTTTACTTATTTGCAAAATAAAACAGGTGAAAATCATACATGGTAGTCCATCGAATTTTCTACTTGCTTATATAACATGTATTTAGCAAATTTTGAATTGCAGCTAAATTTATTTAAGATCCACGGTTATTGATTTAAATGTTTAGCTGAATTACAGACAACATTTTGTAAGGTAATGATGCAAGTGAGATTGGCCAAGCCTTGGTATTTCACTGGTGAGTTATTTGGTTATAGTCTACATTTATTTTCTATCTTGCCATTAGTAAATTGCATCTATTCACGTTGATTAATATGCCTGCTGTATTTGGAGAGGCAGCTTTACAAACAATAGCAGGCGGATTTAGCAAACATGAGGCTAATGTCTAGCTCTTGAAACAAGTAACTGAGCAGAACTAATGTTGTCATGTCTCATACTGACACATGAAATAACCTCCATTTAACTTCGGGTGCCCCCAGACCCATTAAGTTAATCATTCATCCTTATTCATTACTTAAATTAAATGCAACAGATAGAATACCCACCGTAAGAGAGATCTTATATAGCAATGACAACAAAAACACAAGCAAAACCTGAAATGAAGAAAAGTTTCCATTGCAATATATCTCAGTAAATTTTATTTTCTTGGAAAATCAATTGCGAATAGTATAAAATATGAATTCTTGTGATATTTAATGTTATATGTTTAAGTTATTTTATTTATTATAGATTTATATAACAACATATTATAGTACATCGCAAAGAGGAAGGAAGGAAGGAAGGAAGGAAGGAAGGAAGGAAGGAAGGAAGGAAGGGAGGAAGGGAGGAAGGGAGGAAGGGAGGAAGGGAGGAAGGGAGGAAGGGAGGAAGGGAGGAAGGAAGGAAGGAAAAGAAAGTAAAAGGAAGAACCTACTATATTGCATCATAAAGCTGTAGTTGGAATCAGGTGCAACATCACCCGAATTTTCTGTGTATCTGTGGATGAGTCAGCTGACCTCTCTGCTTCTTAGACTTCCAGTCTCTTTGCTGAAGGCAGGAACAAACGAGCTGTTGAGAGCACCCCGATTCTGCATTTCAAGAGTGTGGGTGTATCATCTCATCCATGAAGTATAATTACCTTTAGATATGTTTAATGATGATGCCAAATTTCTTGGACTATTTTGAAACAGATTTCCCTCAAAAATCCCTATGGTCCTGTTGTGATTCCTGTCAAAGTCATGTTGTAAGCCATTTTGAAGTCAGGGATTGTGCTTAAATTGTGCCTTGAAATTAGATCAGCATGTCTACAATTTCCTATTAGCACTATTTTTATAGTTGTAGGAATTTTGAAGAGAGCTTCTGGGAAAAATAGATTTATTATCTCATTTCTATTATTAAATAGATTTTAAAAGGCTGTGAGGCAGCCCTATTTTTAATTTCAAATCGACCTAGTGTCTTTAGCTTGATGAGACTCACCTTGAATTCTACTTTCGTACTGTAATGTATATATATACTATGCCATTTTCACAAAGCCAAGGACAATTTTTGAGGTATACAATATCAAAGGAAGAAGACATACAGGTTATACTTTATAAGTAAGGAAAAAGAACCTTTAACTTTGTTGACTTAAATTTTCTGTTAAATAAAATGCCCACCTAGATTTTTATAATTGTTTGTTAGTACTAAAAATCAGAACGCTTTGCCTGGGCCATGGCTCAGTGTTTGAGTGTAGTTGCTGGTTCGATTCCGGGTCAGGGCACATGCCCAGGTTGTGAGCAGATCCCCGGGGGATGGGGGGTGTGCAGGAGGCATCATCGATGTTATTATCTCTCTCTCCCTTCCTCTCTCTCTAAAATTAATAAAGAAAATATTTTTTAAAATTGGAAAGCTTTTATTATAGTTAAGGGCTATTTATATTACAGAGATACCTATTTAAAGAGCAGGATAAAATAGGGAAATTTTTTTAATGAGACAGATATTACTGATCAGATTGTTATCTTAGAATTTTATTTTTTATTGCTTTTTTTTTTTTTGTATATATGCTCTCTCCTAAAGGAAAACAATCAATTGAAATTCATTCTAACTAAATTTAAAGAGATACATCTGTTCCAGCCAAGAATGAACGTGGTCCTTTAAGTGTATATCATTCTTCATTAACTGAACCAAGAGACCAGGAAGTAAATCCCATGGTGTACATAGATCATAGATCTATCTACTATTTTTGTAGTAATTAATTGCAAGTGCAATTTAAGGGTGAAGGGGCCAAAAGAGAGAACTATTTCATTAAAGCGATACTGATAACTGATAATTATAAAATCACATTTGCAAAATATTAAGACTTCCTGGAGTCTTGTATTGAGTTGTAGGAGTACCTTACATATTTTGGAGATTAACCCCTCATCACATATATGGTTTGCAAATATTTTCTCCAATTCTGTATGTTGACCTTTTTACATCATTGTTTCCTTAGCAGCAGTTTTTTTTTTTTTCCAACCATCACCCAAGGGTATGATTTTTGTGTTAATTGATTTATGTTTTAGAGGGAGAGAGAGAAATATTGATTGAGTTTCTCCCACATGTGCCCCAGCCAGGAACTGAACTCGCCACCTTTTGGTGTATGGGATGACGCTCCAACTAACTGAGCCGCCTGGCCAGGGCGGCTTCTTTTTTTTTTTTTAACTGAGTTAGGGATACATTTAGTTTGGGCTTAGTGGGACATGCGTACATAGCTTTTAGTCAGTTCTGTAAGTTGTTGGTATTACTGGTCACCCAGGGTTTAGCACAAATGCAGCGCATCTCATTGTAGACACGGTGACTTTCCTGTCTGCATTTAGTTTGAATGAACATAGGAACTGATTCCATTCAGAAGGTGGAATCTCAGTATCACTTTCTTTTTCAGGCAGAAAAGTTTGTTTTTATGGAGAAATAAACAAATGTTAAAGTATCACCTTCTTTGCTTAATTGGTGGGATTGCTTCATATAAAAACAGTAATCATAGATAATACTGAATGCTCATCACTTTTAATGACTTAAGATCCCACTTTCTAGCTGAGGAAACAGAGACTTAGCTTAGGTATTTTTTCCGGTGTCACATAGCATCCAGGTGGCACAGCTGGGATCCAGGGCCCAGGACTAAGGTTACGGCCGGTCACTTAAACCCGTGGCTCTCCATCCTTGAGTCAGAAATCAAGACCTGGGGTGTGAGATCTTTGGGACTTGATATGAAGCAGCTAACTTCTCCAGGTCCTCGGGTGTTTTGTCAGGTAAATGAAGGTGGACTAAAATTTAGAGTTGGTCACTTTTAGGTGATCTCATGACCTTTGGAGAAAGCTACGTATGACCCCTTTCCAGGAAGTAGAACAGAGCACTCTTAAACCTGTACATGGTCACAGAATGAAAATCCTTTTCTTAGGCCTAAGTTAAAGTCTCCAGCACACACACAAAAAATTTATTCCACAAAAGTCTGCAATTCTGTTATTTTAAGATAAGGTGACTTCTACTTTATTAGTGATTTTTTAAAAAGGGCAAGAGATTACTGCAGCAATCTATTAAGTGATTGATCAGTATTTGCCTTATTGATGGGTTGATTTGATTTGTTTTCTTTGTGTTTGTGAGTGAGTGTGTGTGTGTGTGTGTGTGTGTGAGAGAGAGAGAGACCTTGAGTTCTGAAGACATTTTTTATTAAGAAAGCTATTACGGGTACATTTAGATTGAACCATTGTGGAAAAGTTATGGCGTTTACTTGAAGCTAATAAAATAATTTGTTTTCCCTGCAAATGAGATCTGAAAAACAGCTAATGTGTCAATACCAATGTGAAAAGGATCTACTATGAAATTAGGTTTCTCAAATAAAATGTAGTTTAACAAGAGGGCATTTGCTCTGTCTTCCTTTTTATGGGGATACTTTTCATTAGAATGTAAAAACGATGGCATGTTTTGAAACCACAAACTTAATATGTATGAAATTTGATGCCTTTCAAGATCAAAGGATTGAATTTCAATTTAAATGTATGGATATTTTGTTTAAAAACAACAACAAAGTATCTTGCTGGAAAATAGATTAAGAGACATTTTGTATATTCTTTTTGTGTCACCTAAGGAAATTGCAAAAGCATGCATTAAAATTGTGTAAGATTTAGTATACACAGCCAGAGACTACTCTATATAGATTTAAAAAAAAAAAAAAAAAAAGCACTACTACTGTTCTGGCCTTGAACCAAAATGCTTCTTTTCTCTGTAAATTTCAGTTGAAAGATTCATTATTGTTGAATTTCAATATGATTGCTAATTAAGTGATGCAAAACTCAATAAAGTAAAATACACAAAAGACCAATTAGCATGTTATCTCAGTAAGTATACAGAAGAATAAGAGAACATACTGTTCCACACAGTAGCATATAATTAAGATGTAGTCATAAATCAAGGATATATTATAACTTGTTTGGGTGCACAGGTGGCTTTTAGAAAGATAGATTAGCTCCTCTTGCCCCCTTGAGATGCGAATTCATAGCTGTTCCTGCAAAATTAAACAGAATAATGTCACAAACTTCTGACAGTGTGTATGCTTCCGTGCAAACAGCATGCTGGAGAGAAATGTTTGCAAGGTGTTCATCTCCTTGTCCATTCCTGTTCCAGATGCTCTCTATGATGTTATCACGGTCGGAGCTCCAGCTGCCCATTTTCAGGGATTTAAGAATGGTGGTCTTCGGAAACTACTCCACAAATTTGAAACAGAAAGAAGAAAGTAAGTGATGGCAAGATGCATTAATGATATTGTCTTCCCTTTGGGGAAGTGTATACGTACACATGTGTAGAATAAAGAAGCTTGGTACGTACACATGTGTAGAATAAAGAAGCTTGGTCCATCTCAATGAATAGTTTTTGTATCTCAACCTATTTAGTAACTTAAAGTTGTTGAATTTCCAAAAAGTACTTGAGTAGAAATGAAATTAGAATAAATTAAATGCCTGACTGTGTTGCTTATTGAGTAGTATTATGCTGGCAGAAAAATTTGTGGAAACAAAGCTACTACAATAGATAGTATTCTCGTACCGACTATTGCTCATTCATTGGAATGATGTTCAGGTAGAGATTTAGCTGAAAACATAGTCTAATGTAATGGTAAAGCCAGACACTTATTGGAGATCATGAATCCTAATTTGTGACTCTTACCCTATTGGTGATTTCCACTGTAGTCTGATGCAAAGCACATGAACTGCTCTGTTGTTTAATTGTGCCATTTGAAAAAAGAGACATCAGTACAGAACTCTGTGTTAGGAAATCTGCCCGAGTGACAAAACCAGAATCTTCTTTTTTTAAGTTTTATCACATAACACATTTGTTATTAGGTGTCCAATGTTCAGGTCAAAAGCATTAAAAGTAACTTAGAATTGTCTACCTGATATACTATTATATAAATATATATAAGCTAACAATGCACATATTTCTTTCTTGTTTTAAAGGAATTGACTTTGATACAATACTATTAACTCACTTATAGCTCTTACTCAGATTTTTCCCCCCAGTTTGTTTGTTTGTTTTTGTTTTTTTATGAGGAGGGTATATAGTTCTATGACATATCACAGGTGTAGGTTTGGGTCATCATCACACAAAACTGTTCCATTACCACAAAGACACTCCGTCAGCTTATCTCTTCTGCAGAAAATAGTTCCGTTGCTTATTGTAACGGAGGAGAGGTCAGAGTTCCAGCCAGGGGCTCTGAGGGGAGAGGCCCCTGCTGTTTAATTCATGGGGTTGGAAGTCAGTTCAGTCACAGACGCCATGGGGCAAGGGATGCCATCTCTTTACCAAAATGGGGATTGGGACTGGAATATAGGTTTCTGCCCATGATTTGTACTGGGAATGATGTTTATCATTGATCCCCCACCCCCTGCTGTCCTATCCTTCGAGTTGGGGAGACACTGGTATTTATGTGCTGTTCTCCCCAGAAGAGGCAGGCATGGTTAAAAGTTTTCTTTCTGTTGGGCCACCCTGTTATTAGTCCTTCGGTTTTTCTCGGGTTCTGTTTCTAGCTGGCATTTTGCTGCGTTGAGGGCTTCTCTAACACCCAAGTAGGCCAGAAAAAGCAAACCCCATAGAACTCACTGTCACTGTCATGTCATTCCCAGATCCTGAGGCCCCGGTCAATCTGCCCTCTTTGCTGTTCGAGTCTTCTGATGAATGGCTTACGTTTTGACTAGAGTAGTTGCTGTGATTAGCAGGAGTAAAATAGATCATGTTTACTCCATCTTGCCTGGAACTGGACATCTCCGCCATGAGAATTCACTTAATTTATTTGTTTTTCTCACTCCAAGTTTGAAGTGCCTGACACAATGAGAAGGCTGAAAACTCGGCACATAGAATCGAGTTGAACATACCGAGCATCAGTATGTGAAACATGGAGTAACATCACCTAATTTCATAAAACATCACTGTGTGCTACTGGCAAAGGCAAATGTTGAGGCGTGTGGTTAGACGCCGAGTAATATGTCTGGTTTTAAATACCCTCGTGCATATGTGAGTTCTTCAGTATTCTTCACTTCTCACTGCGATGTTACTGTGCATGTAAACACACACACAGCTCTAGGATTCAATTCGAAGTAAAAGAGAGAAGTGTGTCCGATACTTAACAGACATTTACTTGCTTTAGGGTTTTCAAAACTATGTTATATAGCCTATTGCTTTATTGATAACTTTATTGATAAATATAATGAAAAAATTTTTTAAGTAAAAAAATAATCTGGTGTAGATCCTTTTTTTTTTTATCCTCACCTGAGGACATTTTTCCATTTTTTTTTTGTTCAGGTAGAGTGGGAGGAAGAGAGAGGAACAGAGAGAGAGAGAGAAACATCAATGTGAAAGGGACACATCGAGTGGCTGCCACCCACACGACCGACCAGGACCAGGGACAAACTGCAACCGAGGTACATGCCCTTAGCGGGAACCGAACCCGGGTCTCTCTGTACCGCAGGCCGACGCTCTAACCGCTGAGCCAAACTGGCCAGGGCGTCTGGTGTAGATCTTAACCTGCTAACCGAGCGGGACGTATAAATACGTCAAACGTTGCGTACAGTGAGATACAAGGCTTGCTGTGTAATGAAAAAGGGAATTCCCCGGTTAACAGGTTAAAAGTGCTCTCCACAGGGCAGGGCTGGGGGTCACGCTAGGCTTGCCGAGACAGTACACCGATGAGCAGGGCACCAGCCTGACCCTCGAGGTAAGCGCTGACCTGAGCAAGGACATCGGGCCTAAAGTGATGTCACACTCTGCAGATTATTTTTCTGCAGGTTTTTTTCCAGCCACAAGTATTGCATTTGTTCACCAAAAGCAATAATAGAGAAATCAATGTGACTATATGAAATGAGTAACTTAGACTTACACATTTACTTGTGCAAGTGAAGAAAATCACGTTACGTGAAGGAAATTTTCTTTGTCCCTTTTTTCCTTTGATACTTCCTCTGCCCCCCAAGTAGCCAAGTCTTCTAGGCTGGTGTTTTAGAGGAACTACCACAGCTGTTGTGCTTCTTCACCTTCATCCATTTTCTTCTCAGCCGAGCCGCTGAAATATTGTCACCTGAGTACAATAATTTGTGGGTCTATTCCTTAATGATCTATTGTTTGATAAGTACACTGACCACATAATGAAAAGGACTGTAGCCTAAGAAGTCCTTACTTGCTTGGAGTATTCATGTAATGTAATTCGGATCACATAAAAACGTATTTTTAAAACAGCAAGATAGTTGATTAGGCAGATTGATCTTTTTAAGGCACAAATAACTGAGTTACTCTCCTGCTCAGAAACCTTCACGGAGTCCAGCCTTGTCCACTGGGATTCCAAGCCTTTGTGAACTAACCCCAACTTCGTCACCCCTCCCCCCCTGTCGCTGCTTCTTACGTGCCAGGACACTGTCCTTGGTGCACGGCACACGTTCCCACCTCTTGCCCTCCCCCCTCCGCTCTCTCTCACCGGGAGTTTCTGTCCTCGTCTCCGCACTGTTTCCATTCCTTCCCATCAACATCATATACATAACCCGAGTCAAAACCCTCCATGTGATCGAGCCTGAGACTTTACCCTCTCCATTACGTCTTCTGATTTCTCAAGTTGATTTTTGCTATTGCCTTATTTTCACTTCCCTTATAGCCTTACGGGAATGCTGTGTTAGGTTTGTTCTCGTTTGGCACTTCCGTGACACTTTGTGATGTCTTTGAGTCAGAGATGATGTTCTCTGGAGTTGGGGGTCTCTGGAGTGTTCCACACAGTACTCAGCACGCCAGCCTCCACAGGTCAAATGCAACAGACGTCGGAATTCACCTATGAAGCCGATACAGTCTCTGATTTAAAGTGCTGGAAACTCCAGTGGGAAATAAAGCTTCGCAAACGATCATAACATCAGTAGAGACATCAGGGATCCTCAACTGTGGTTGGACATTAGAATCCCCTTTGGAGATTTAAAAACATCTTATGTGTGCCGTGACATCGCTCAGGACAAATGAAGCGAATGTACTGGGAATGAAGCCCAGGCACTGGTATATTTTAGAAGTTTCTCGGGTGGGTCTGATGTGTCCTAGGGTTGAGAACCACGGACACAGATGAAAGTAAATGGTTATGGGAGAGAAGAAAGGAAGGGTGTGGAAAATGAAGAGAGAATTAATGACACAGAGGAGTTGAACTTGAAAAATGTCAGACTTCAATCGGTATGTATCAGGAGCAGAGAAAATCTGCATAAGTGAATATTCGTGGGAATGAAGAAAAGCATTACAGCTTGCTTAGTAGGAATTTTTGTTTAAAAAATTCCAAACTCATTAAACTGTTGCAAAATGAAACAAAAGACGGGAGTAAAGATATAAGAATTGTGATCTGGGAAAATTTGGATCCTCCGTAACATCCACACAAATAAAATCGAGTGTATTTGAGAGGTTTTCATGCTATAAATATGAGGAATTTCTGGGAGCACCAGACCCTAATTACAAGGACATTTAATTGAAGGCCAGGGTGTCTGTAACCCATGTGTTCACTCATCACATCAAACCTCCACGTGTTCCTGGAGGCAGCAACTTACCGATGACAGCATATGAAAGTTGGGGAGTTCTTCTTCAAAATATGAATCGATTCTTTCCTTTTGGTGTTATTTAAAAGGAAGGTAAAAACTACCACACTTGTTTTGCCTGCTTTGATCATTTCTAATTTCAGCAGGAACTTCAGAGTCAGCCAGAATTTTTACTGAGTAGGATCATGACCTGAAAGCATAGCTCTTTTATTAAGATAAAAAGAAGCCTTGTGAAAACCAAGAGCCTTTGTAAAGAAATTAAAAAAAAAAAAAAAAAAGGCCAGTGAGGGACAGTGTTAATCCTTCGTGAGAATATGAACTCGCTGCGGCCTGTTCACTGGGAATGAGCCAGAACTATCTCCCCGCCAAGGACCCTCGTCTCATGTCTGCCACTTGCCTGCCTAGGATATCTACCCTGGATTCCCCACCTGTCCCCCGTCTGTTCCAGATGACCGTGACCAACATTCACTAACCACACGATTTCAAATGGAGGAGAGAAAGTCATCATTTGGAAAAATCATCAGGAAAACAAACAAAAATTTTACTGATAAAAATACTGCAGGCTGTACTTGAACCTACAGCAACTGGAGTCTGTCCTAGAATTTGGGGGAGTCTTCTGAAGGAAAGGAGTTAAAGGAAAAGATACAAAGGAGAAGGAAATGATACAAAGAATTAAACCAGTCTTACCTTGTATGAG